CCCACTACGGCCTACTGGGCGCCGACCTACCGGGAGATGCGGCCCGTAAGGCCAGGAAGGGTGAATTTCGGGAGGCGGGGGTAGTGGTGGTTTAACGGGCAAGACTTTAGGATAAACCACCAGTACCCAATTCTTCATGGTGCCGGGCAGGGCACAAGTGCCTGTTGGTCTCTCACGGCCACCTACAGCGTACACAAACCTTTGAATGCCACATTTACACCCGAAGCACTGGCCAGAAAGGATTGAAGCCAGGCTATATATACTAGCCAAATTTTGAGAGGGCATGGCTTTATACTGCCGCCACAGCACAGCTACTGGCAGGTCTCGGTCTTTGTGTTAGCCAGACCCCCACTGGCGGCCCCAACCCTATACCCTAACCATTAGGGGCAAGGGGCAACATGAAGTCTCCCCTTCACAGAGAGAGGAAAACTATGCTTGCAGGGGTCCCCTCCAGATAGTCTTAGGTAGTGGAAGGTAAAACAATACAGAAGTTGAGAGAAGAATATAGACAGTTGTGATCACCCCCGAAAAAAAAAAAGAAAAAGCAGGAGGGAGAGAAGGGAGAAGGGGAAAAAAAAGAAAAAAAAAAAAAAAAAGAAAAGGATGGAGACCTAATATTCTCCTATCATTAGCACAGATCAGTATCTAGCCTATGCTTGCTTTTTTTCTTTTTTTTTCTGAACTGGAGATTTAGCCACCCTTTCCCTCTGAATGGCGACTCCCGTTTCGGCCTTATAGCTTGCCAAGGAGACCCTTTTATGGAAAATGCCAAATTGTGGCCTTCGTTCTTTTTCTTCAAAGATGTCCAAATTTGGCCGCAGTAGGAAGGCGTTCTCCCACTATCGGATCCAGAATATGCGGGGCAGCCGAATCTGGATGTGTTCCATTCATGATTCTCTGTACCTCTCAACAAAGATGTCCAAATCCCATTTGTTTGGGTCGTCTCTCGACAAAGATGTCGAAATCCCATTTGTTAAAAAAAAAAAAAAAAGTCCAAATCCGGGCGTTACGTACAATCCTCTTTGCTAGTGGGACCTCACCCCTGCAGAATAACTTGATGGCTTTCGGGACCCAGAATTCCATCACAGTTTCACATCATCTGAGACAGGCAAGCATCCCCCCCACCCCACCCACCCACCCCCGCAAGAAAAAAAGAACAAAAAAAAAAAAGGCAAATTATGAGGGAGTCACAAAAATGAGTTATAATTGCGGGCAAAGATACAGTTTTGAACCGCCGTCCCGACAGTGTATACAACCCACTTAGCCTTATAGTTAGGTGTTAGCCTGCCAAGCCGTTGGTTGTGTGTTCGAGTCTTGTATTCGACATCACGTGCTTTCACGCAGTAACCGCCATAGAGATTATACTACGGGCAGTGTGGCTGTGTAGGATGAGTGGTTGGGTACACCGTGTCGTGGGATCTCCGTGCTGGGGCGGGGTGAAGTGCTCATCTTGGGGCTTCACTTTCACCCCAGCCCACTTAGCCTTATGGTTAGGTGTTAGCCTCCCAAGCCGTTGGTTGTGTGTTCGAGTCTTGTATTCGACATCACGTGCTTTCATGCAGTAACCGCCGTAGAGATTATACTACGGGCAGTGTGGCTGTGTAGGATGACTGTGGTTGGGTACACCGTGGGATCTCCGTGCTGGGGTGGGGTGAAGTGCTCATCTTGGGGCTTCACTTTCACCCCAGCCCCTTATGGTTAGGTGTTAGCCTGCCAAGCCGTTGGTTGTGTGTTCAAGTCTTGTATTCGACATCACGTGCTTTCACGCAGTAACGGCTGTAGAGATTATGCTACGGGCAGTGTG